CAGTGTTGCAAGAATGCTAAATATCCAGATCACAGCGATCACGGCCATAGATGCAGGAATAAATGGGAGCGCTAATAACAAGGACACGTTGAGTCCTAATGACAGCAGGGCTAGTACTGAAAAGTAGAGTGCCACGAATACACTCGGAGTATTCACAACCACCCTCCTTGTCTCTGTCCTCGGCATTCATGAACATGAGGAGCCTTTCACATGTCCTCACCTAAAAATCAGCATCCTTCCCAGTCATCAAGACCCACAAGCGACCCTGCCGGTTGCGCTAGGAGCCTAGCTGTATGCGTTTATTTCCACATCACCTCCCTGGAGCCCCTGCGTGACCCACGGAAACTCCCACCTGCACATCCCGACCGCATAGTAGCTGGGTGTCCTCCTCCTGACAATCATCTCCTGGGACGTCAGCTGGAACTTTAGGGTTTATCGTTTCGTTTCGTCTTTTGCTTTGAGATCTCTGACAGGGACCCTCATAGCTCTTGAGGGATGTTGACGTGGAAGCTTCCCAGAAAGATTGAGACTGTGTGATTTATAAAGGTTTGGGAATCCGGTCGGTGGTATCGATGCCACAGTTGGAAGCGACAAAGCCATTTGTCACCAAAGTCATGCCACATCTTTTAATCATATCCCGGAGACATTTCCACGGCTTTCGAGGTGTCTGTAGGATTTCTGGGCTCTACGCTGAGAAAAACAACAAAGCCTCAAGCCTGAACCCTAAGCCCTAAACTCTCAACCCATTGGCAGATTTAACAATCAAAACGCTCAAAGAGCCCTTGGGAGGGCACATTTTTTAATCTGTTTCGCACATGACCCGGATATGTCTGGAGACTCGTCCTTTGGAATTGCCAGGATATTGGTCCTTTTCGGGCATCCTTCATAGACGGCTTCTGTTTAGGGTGTGGGGAGGGACTGTGGGCACCGTGACAGGAGTATAAAGGCAGGTTGATGATACAGGCATCGACACTGCTCACCAACAGCGTCACTTTTCGACTTTTCGAACAGTTTTCGTTAAAAGCTCGCTTGTCGACATTGGGGCTGACAGCATGCCACATGTCAATGCCTTGTGAAGGGATCTGAACTTGCTAGGCGCGCCTAGACTAGACCCTACATCACAGGGCTGCTGGCCAGCACGTACCGTCTGTTGGGGAGCTGAAGGTCCCAGGCATTAATTAGCCCGTTGAATCATCTATTCGCCGGGCTCGCCAGAATCATTAGTTCTGCCTGCATCATCTTGATACAATTAGTGCAACGAGCCTCACTGTGCTAAGTTTAGCTTAACCTCGATTCACTGTAGTTTTGCCTTACTATAACCTCTTTACAACCCAGGTAGGAGGGACCATGGTTCTGGACATCAAGTCGATACATCGATTCCTTCAATGCGATTAAGAAACTGGAGAAGCAAAGCATTGAAAACGGCTCAAAACTGGAGTTCTGGCACATGCAGAAGCAGAAAACACCATAAAAAACTATACGTCTCATATCATGTTCATTCATATTCTGCATATATGGCTGACAAGAATACGGGACAGATATGGAGAGTTTGAGTCATAAGACGTTGAGAGGTGTTTAACTAGTAAAGGTTGCGAACAAAGTGAAAAAACTGGAATGACTGTGTTTTTGGCTCGGTGGCATATATGTGCATTCAAGAGAATATTCCTCATGATGTCAAAAAATGAATATAATGTATATGTGACTATGTGTACATGTATCTACACTCCGCCTCATCTGCCAGGCGTAGCCAAACCAGAAGGCACTCACAAAGAAGGCATTGGAAATGACGTGATCACCGTGCAAACAAAGATAGAAATTCTTGTAAATGAGAGTCAAACCCGATCCTATGCCTCTCGTACCTCTCTGAAATGGCACCACTCAACGAGAATACGAAACATCTAAAACCGCTTGCAGCAAGTCAGGCTTGCTGAGTTTTTACAAGAAACTCAAAGAGTCAGGCTTGTTGACATTTTTCCCGAAAAGCTACAAGGGTAAGTTTGTGCTGAAGGTGAAGCTTTTGGGGTTTCCTGAACGCTCCAGGTTTCCTGAATGCTCCAGAGGTCAATCTTCTTGCAAGAAGAAACATGTTGTTCGCAAAGTTACGCTTTTTGGGCCTCTGCCCGAACAAAACGAAGCGATTTGCAAACCTGAAACTAACTTTCTGCCCAAGAAGGCAAGATAAGCTTCTTGCCAAAAAGTGTGTTTGCCTTTTTGCCCGAAGATTCAAGAAGTGAACCTTTTGCGAAAAAGAAAACGTGTTTGCCGCTTTGCCCTAAAAGTGGACACTTATGCTTTTCGAGACAACTGCCCGAAAAGTCGAAAGTTACACTGCTTTTGAAAAGTAAGACTCTTGACGTGTTGCCCGACAGTTTGAAAAGTGAATGTTAGCCGGAAAAGTCGAAAAGTGAGCTTCTTGCGAAAACGAAACTGCCCAAGAAGTGAAAAAGTGATGGCTCCCCTTTTAACACCAGCAAGCCCAAGTGCTGCAAAGGCTCGGCTTGGACGATCCCGCTGCTCGTCTCTGTTGTGCGCACAGATCTTGGACACTGCAGTGGGCACCAAGAATGCTTGCAGCAACGCATGACATTGACAAAGCTGCTCAATAATCTTCGCCCATGAAAGACCCCACAGCGGTTCCGCCTGCTCACAGCTTTAAATTACTAGGGCCCTGACGAAGGGCAGCGAGGGATGGCAATTGATGGCTACCACGAGTATGCACATGAGCCGAAGTCCCAATGTTTCTTTTCGGGGGCTGAATCAGGGAACAGTGCGAGTGTTCTGCACACCTTAATTTCTTGACACTCTGCTGTATGAAGACGAATACAATGCGCCCTCGGGGCTTGCATGGCTGCACCTAGGTGAACAGCTCCAACTAGAAAGCCAATTTCAGAGAGACAAACACGGAGTGGGACGTGCTAGTTTGTGGTAGCAATATTCCAGCTTCCTTGAACTGTAGCTGGCTTCCGGGAAAAACCTCGCAAGAGCTTCTGAGGGTTCAAGTGACCACAGCTCGTGTCCTCGCTGCGGGAATATGGCTTGCTTCAAGCAAATCCCTGGATGCAATACAGGCACAGTCAGACTCCCTTGAGCCTGAACAGCGATCAAACTCAGGTAGTCACTTCCATGGGGACCGCCCTGCGCATCCTAGTTTTCAGACTGCGTAGATGGATGACTGGATCCTTGTAAACCATGCCTTGTAATCATCCCAAACTAGGCCCACAATTTTGCATCATGTTACGTTCCCCAGAGCCGGCTGCGGCTCAAGCCGTGTGAACGACTCTAACGAAACAGGGCTGGGACTAGTAGCCTGAATATTGATTGTTCACCCATTTCATCTTCGCCATCATGCCTACACACACGTATCAGATGTGTTACACAGTTGCTCGAACACCATGTCTTCCTTATCCAGGTAAAAACAATGTGTCAGATGCAGCCTCCATAAGATCTGCGCAGAGAGGCGTTCGTCCTCGAGCACCTGCATCAAGGCAGGTGCCTGCATGCGGCCAATTCTCAAAACTGCGGTCCCAGGAAGATATCCTAAGATACGACAATCCTTCTTACATGGCCCCAGATAGAGCAAAGTTTGATGGAATCCCACGGCTACCTCTGCTCAGAGGAATGCTTTTGAGAATGGGGGGGTGGGGGGTATCCTAGGATAGACGAGAAATTGAGGAGAGTCGCGTCTTCCAGCCCAAGAGCGTGGTGGGCTTGCAGGGAGCTCAACCCAAGCTGCACAACATGTTTCCTTGGATGGAAGCCTGCTCGCTGCAAGCATGCGCTACAGCTGCTACATTTCAAAGGGGATCTGAAAACTAGATGACTAGTGTTTTTTGGTGGTCGGACGTGGCAGCGAGCATATAATTCTTCCCAGGAAGCTGCATACTCAAAAGAAGGATAATACGATCTTACTCTGTATTGGGGGCAAAAGTATCCTTAAATAAATACTACTCAGATGACCTGATTGGGCTAGTACTCTGACTCCCAAGCCTTGCTAAACCAAACGTTGGAGAGCCATGCATCTTTCAATGAACCAATCTCACTGCGTCTCGGCTGACCGAAGAGGCCCGCATTAGCGGATCCCTTCGGGCTCGGTCAAGGAGACATTGTAGTCATGGGTATGCGCCAATATGCTCCCACAATGTGGGTCCTTGTTGGGGATACTACTGGGCTGGCCATGAAAGGACCTGCATTTGGTGCCAACCCATATCTGTCTGCATCGGTACGCAAATTCAGCTGGTTTGCTGTCACTATCTTGCCCTACCACTCTTGCATCGCGCTCAAGAACCTTCATGCCTTTGCAGCAGCACCTTACGGCGACAGGCAAGTGGCTACAATTCCGTGCTTCAGACCACAATTGCGGCGGCACAGCAGACCAAGGAGTGGGCCCTTCATGTTCGAGATCATGTTTTGAGCCTTCAGCTTGTTGAGGAGTCGGCGGTTCCTTAGAGTCTCAACTGCAACAAGCCTGGTGGTAGTGTGGCCGATCACAGCGACCCCGCCAACTTTGGACTCCCGTGCGCATAGCACGGAATGAGAAGGAAAGAATTGCAACTGTGGCTGCATTTGAGATCCATCCTGGCATTACTAACTATCATCCCCATGGCTACCCTGTCCGCGACAGTCTGCGATTCTGGAATCCCAGGGAATAATTCCTGGCTAAGAAACAAAAGCAAATACCATATGGGTGAGGTCGGGTGAGGTCGGCGCAGAACAGTTGAATAGCCCTTGCATGGCATCCGCCGAAGTTGCAGCCTTCCCCAATCAAACATGAAATCCCACACAGGTGTAAGCTTTTGGTATTTCGGGTTTAGGGGGGTATAGCCTTTCTAGGTTCCATGTTCGTTGGAGGGCCTCCTGGAGAGAACTAAAGTTTTGGAACTCAGCCAATGACAACTACGGCTGCTATGACGATAGAAATGCGAGTACATGAAGTAAAATGTCTATTCACGATGAAATCCGCGTCTATACGCTAACCAAAGTTCCTAACAATGTTACAAACCCTATCTCACACGACCAAGCAGGGCAAGGTTCCTCTTCTTCAGCTGGCGTGACCGGAAGGCTTCCATGTAGAAGGGGTCCTGGGCTCTGCTGTTCTGTGGCTTTCTGTACGGTTTCAGGTTTTTGGAAATAGGGCTGAGAGTTCAGGATTTAAGGTTCAGAGATTTGCGGGTAGAGGGTTGTCACATCGGTGAAGGATTTGGGGTCAAGTTTTCTGCTCTGTTTTTGCTGTTGGCAATACTGCCGGCATTGCTAGTATTGCTTTCGCGCCTGTCTGCTTCCAAGAAATTTGAGCTTCTCAAAAAAAGAAATGAAGAATCCGTTGCGGGGACAGCTCTCATATCCTTGCCATGCCCATGTATTCCTGGCTTCCTACGAGAGACAACCCCCACATCAATTGCGCCTGCAGCGTGCGAACGTCCTGCCTTATGGTAGCATAAGCTAGCCTCATACAGGTTTTCTGTCTTTGTGCCATGATCCATGGAAAGAAGGAATTGCATAGCAAAGTGGAACCGAACGATTTCTGATATCCTCACATCGCAACAAGGAATGCTAGCCTATCCGTGCACGGCCACGTCGCTCCTGTGCAAAAAGGATCTTAGACAGGATGTGCAATCTAACTCTTTTCAGGTATCCCAACATTCCATGCAGGTAACCACTCAAGTAGCCAAGCCGGGGTTCTCAAGACGATGCGCCCCTGCTTGCGACTCCGCAAAACAAGGACCCAACAGTTTGGGGTGCGCATCAGAGAAAACAAAACAGCCAAGTGGCATCCATGTTGGTGACTAGCTCCTCCACCTCGCCTGCGTCCTCGCCTTCGACCTCCTGCCGCACCTCTTGGATCCTGGATCAAAGCAAGGGCTGCGAGCTTGGGCACTAGGAGCAGGAGTAGCGGTGCTGGCTGCTGCAATTAGCCGTAATGGTATCAGCAGCAGGAGCAGCAGCAGCAGCAGCAGCAGCAGCCGGAGCAGCAGGAGCAGCAGCAGCAGCAGCAGCAGCAGGAGGAGGAGGAGGAGGAGGAGTAGTAGTAGTAGGAGTAGCAGTAGCAGTAGCAGTAGCAGTAGCAGTAGCAGTAGCAGTAGCAGGAGCAGTAGCAGTAGCAGTAGTAGTAGTAGTAGCAGCAGTAATAGTAGATCGGCATTCCGTTTGTGATACCGTATTTCCGGTGCATATGCAACGCTCAACCTTGAGGAAGGGTCGGGCGGTCCTTTTCGGCACTTTTCGTAGGTCCAGTTGTGATGACTTTGTTCCAGTGAAATACTAGAAGGAGTAGGGTCTGCAAATTCAAACATGGACTTATTTCATTGAAGATGCATTTTCCTGATGAAGAACCCAGATCCTCCATACACCGTCATCATCTTTGGCATACGTCAAAGGCACCTTGCTCGACCACATTGCAGGCAACATGCCAATTGTGATGCCTGCCGTAAAAACTTGCGGCAACCCTCAAGTCAACTTAGCATGGTGGATGCTGTCCCGAAATCCAAGCCTTTCTTTTTTGCTGACCAAAAATCTCCGAAGCATAAACTTATCTTATCATCAGCAAGCGACATTCGACCTGCGTATGTGGCCCGGCACCCTTTGAAGAAGAGAACCCAAACCTACGTAAGACCAGGACGAAGACTGCGTTCTTGAACATGAGCATGCCGTACACCACCTGGGCCGCAGAGCCAATGCTCCGACTTCTCTCAACGGCTACAGAGGCATGACGTGTAAACCTGCTGCTTCCTCAATCATTTTGCAGATGGTTCTTGCCAGTACTACGACGACCGCTCTTGCTAGAGCTGCTCACATGAATCCCTGCTTCAACAGCTTACACACCTATGAGCCATACACAACCCGTACAGTCCCTTCACAACCCTGATACAGCCCCTGCATGCCTCATCCCTATACATGCGCTCCTTCTTGAGTAAACCCCTTTTGGCAGACCAGTGTCCCAGTTCCTTAAAGGTCCTAAGGGTCCCCTAGGCCTTAAACCCTTCACCCCGAGCCCTGAAACCCACTGCTCCTAACCCCAACAAAGCCCCCACCCTTAACATGCCCGCGCATATTCCCTAGTACAGCACCCATACAATTCCTATATAATCTCTCTACATCTCTCTACAATAGTCCTTGTATTCCACTAGAAAGTGCCCTGGAAAGCTCGGAGCGCTACAGCGCCGATCGCCGGGATCATTAGCCAGGATCCCAGAAGACCTGGATGCCTTAGCGGGCTCTGAAGGTTTTAAGTCATCTGCTCCCCTTATCAAGCTATGTGAACCGCAGGTACGTGAGATATATCTCCAGAAAGTAGACCTCCGATCCAAAAATCCGAACCCCTCAAACCTAAACGCAGAACCCTACATCCTGAAACCTAAGCTCTGACCCTGCTGACTCTGCTACTCCCCACAGCCTAAACCTTAAATCCATGTGATGTCAGGAGGCCACGGTTCGGCGAGAGGCGGAAGTATTGCTAGAAGCCAGAAGCCCTTGCCCAAAAGCCACCTCAGAGTCTCAAGCTTTTTTGGACGGAGAGTTAGCCGCACAAAGTAGGTTTATATAGGGACGTAGAGGGCTTGGGATTCGGGCTCTGAGGTTTAAGCCTTCCTGGGCATCCCTAACGAAGGACCAAGGATATTGCAGTTTTTGGTGCGCAGACGTAGCCCGGGACCCCTAACTTGGAAAAATCGGTTGTGGGTAACTAAGCAGGAAGGCTGCTTTCGCCTTAGATTTTGGAGAGCTTAGGTATACGGTGCAAGACTGAGTGTAAGGCCTCTAGGTTAGTTAGTTAGGATGTCCTCAGATGAGCGGGTTCTGCCATGGGGTCCATTCTTTGGTGCGCACCTCTGACTTGGAGAAATCGCCAAAATGGGACAAGAATGGTGACAAGCTTAGCCATTGTGATCATTTTGAGGGCCTTGCAAAGATGTGCATTCCCTTTGGAGGCAAGCTGCATGAGGATCATCTTGAGGGTGTCGCAAAGCGTCCGCGCGAGTGCTGAGATGTGCTTCAAGATCATTATGTGCGCCACCTCAGCCATGAAGTGGACTCCGAAAGTTGCTAGGTTTATAGGAATCACGTATTTGGCTTCGCATACCTATTGGGGCCCCTGATTTTGTATTCTGCTGTTGATAGACCAAATGCCGCATGACCCCGACCATGCTATAGTACCATCATCCCTGGAGGATCCTGGAGGCACACAGGGTGATGCAGCCTGTCAAATGTGGGTTTATATAGTGGGTACTAGATTTTTCAGAAATGCCCATTTCTGCCAGGGCACATCCGAGGTCAAATGAGATGTGACATTCCTTAGTCACCATTACCCTGGGAAGAAAAAGGGCACACCCCGGAAAGTTAAAATGACCCTTGTTGATCCAGATTCATGAGAAGGCAGATGGCCAGCGCTGGACTGGTGGACATCATGAACAAGACGTCCTGAGCACGGGACCAGGTGGGGGCTTCAAAATAGAAGAAAAACTTTGGTACATCCGGATGAATGGGATGGTAGGGCTCTGATTGTGTGGGACGTCTTGAAGGAACCTCCAGATGGGAACTGTTATTCCAATAGAGATCCAGAGGATCATGGGCATGTGGCACCCACACACACCCATAGTACAGGTTCTCTGGGATGGAAGTAATGAATCCTACGGCCCCACACTTGAGGCATCAGCCTCAACCTTCTCATGGTCTGGTTCCTGAAGATCATGCGCCGGCTAGAATCGGAACACCCCAAGCGACCTTAGCCTATGCGAATCAGGAGAATCACCACCAACACACTAAAACCTTTCACAAATGCCGGTAGCTCTTACTAGGATTAGGGAAGACTCGGAGACCCCTTCATCAATCCTTGAGCAAAAGAAAACTGGAATGCATGTCTAAGCCAAGATTTGGGGCCTACATAGTTAGAGTAGGAATTGGAGTGGAGCGACTCTGAGTCGAAGAGATACAGCAAGGAACTACTAGTCAATAACCGGGCCCACTGCAAGAGCCCACAAACTGCAGTGGACAAACTGCAGCCACGGGCGCTTCTGGATCGCAAAACGGACGACGCCCTCCATCTGGAAGATCCACGAAGATGGTCCGCGACTTGTACATGGAACCTTAGAGCAACCGAACACATGCTACGCTGCTACAAAAAGGCCTCTGCAAAGGGTCTCTCCAACATTGAAGAGCTCTTCAACCCCTCCAAAAAGGCCTCACGTTCCACCTTGCCTCGCCAGGACAGGATCACCAGATGATTTTGAACCCTTCGCTGCTCAAAGCAGCGCGCTCGGCACTTCTTCCGTAAGAACTCCGAAGCAGCGTCCGTTTTTGTTCAGATATCTTCTAGCCTTGCAACTACAATCACAGCCAATCCTCCCTGCAGGAGCCATGAAGGGAACCTCATAGGAGGGTAGGGGCGTAAGGGCTGTGCGGGACTGCTTTACTTCAAGGCACTTTGCCTGAATGCTTCCACATTACAACAAGCGACCTGCATGTAAATAGGAATCCTAAGACAAGGGATCTCCAAACAAGGGGCACAACAATTTGCTGAAACCATGTAGAGCTGTACGATTACGGGCTCTGTGCATGGGCACCAGGAACTCTTAGCCAGACCTTCTCCAGCCACGTTGCATGCCGTGAGAAATGCGCCGAAGCTTGCTGACCAGCTCAGCAGGCCTCACGCACACGCACCGTCACCTCTCCTGGTACTAAACTACTAAACACCCCCACATATAGCGTGGGAATTTCTAGTAGAGAGGGGAGGGTTGTTGAATACTATGGGGATAGGATTGGTCAGTCATCCCGCAATAACCGCCTCTAACCCAGGCACATGCGCATGATGGGTATTTAGAAGGTCTACTGCAGTTACGCTTCGGGGCATGGGGTTTGGGATTTTTTCGGCTCATGGCTTGGGATTCGGGGTCCAGTCTCAAGATGAGGAAATCCAACTACGATCAACTGTGCAGGGTGAGAATCCTGGGTCCGACGACGCAACTACACATCTCGATCAACTACGAACAGATGTAGGAACTCTAAGAACAACAGTAGGGTTTAGGGTAGTCCGCAACAGCCATACTAGAAGTAGTGACCACGGAAAGAATGGTAGTCAATCTGAAGCTCTGTTCTCAAGTTTGATCCATGAAAAGCCGATCTGCCAACACGAAGGCAGCCTCTGATGCAATCGGAGATCCTTGTTGCAAACGGCTTTGCTTGCCTTAAGAGGAGATGTGGTTCCTGAACTCCGCTGCCCAATACCAGACCCTAAACCGTACGCCCTGTACCCTACAGTCAATGCCAAAAATTGGAACATGGGCATCGGATGTTCTACTTGATGGAGTAGACTGATGCTCTAACTTTCTGGCTTCCAGCCTGAGCACTAATTAACCACAATACCTCAAACCCAAAGCATCACTGCAGCCCGACTGGCTGACTGGATTTGGCCAGTACTGTCGAACAGCGATCTCCTGCAGCTTCCAAGGTCTACTTGACAACTCTACAAGAAGTTTACCAAGATGTGCAGAGGATAGATAGGCGGCAACTCAAAGCATTCATGTTTTGGCTATGTGATGCGGTTGAAAATGCTCAATCCGCAAGAGCGTTGGCCCTTTTCTCTGCACAGCAGCCTGCATACCACGGGCAGGAAATCTGAAAGAAGACCCAGCATGATAATTGTGGATGTCATGCGGTTGTCTTGAAGTAGAGAAATCCCTACCATCACACACAAAGCATGGAATCAACAGATCAACACCGCGGACAAACCAAAAACCATGAACTCTTGGAAACCCCTACAACAATGATTCACAAAGTCTGCTACGGCTGCTCCTCTTGCAGTCTCCTACTACCACTACCACGGCCGAACACCGCTAACTGCTGGTGTTACTTCTTACGGGGTCCTGGAAGATCAGCATCATTGCATGGCAGAGCTCAGACAGCAACAGGAGCCTCACTCAGAGCTGCAATCGGGCATAGCAGCAGTCTCTCTCAGCCATACGTAGCTCTAAAGATGCTTCCATTTAGGCTAGGGCCAGGAGACCTACCTAGAGGACTACCAGCAGATTATCTTCAGAACGATTCCATTGTCAAGTCGGCCGTAGTAACCCTGGACCCGCAAAACTAGAAAGATCAGTAGCCGCAACGACAATAGTAGCAATGACAGTAGTACGCGAGGCAGAGATGCTGCATGTGGTAACACATGAACTGCAACCAAGGTGCAAGGGGCCTTCGAGGTTAATCTCATGGGATCCTTTGCCCGGCTTTCCGCCCTTGCCTCATCAATCGGCAGCCAAAGTCTCAGTGCCAATGCTCCGAACTGCCCGAGGGGCAGAAAACAGTCATGTCATTGTACATGAGGTATCAATGAGTCAGCTGTGCAAATGAACATCCTTGCAGCGCGTCCCAACAATGGCGAACGCAATTCCTAATCAATTGTAGTGGTAGAAACGACCGACATAACAATCACATAGAGCTGTACAATCAATAAGAACAGTGATAGCAATGAATGTAGTTTCGGCCAAAGCCTTCCGCAACGGTTGACAGAAGTAAAGCTCCGGAGATAACCAGAAGAGAGCACCACCTCGGCTCCATGCCAGACAGCCTGCATCTCAGCATTGCAGCCAGCACTGTGCCTAGGGCCAGTGTTTAAAAGTCATTGGTACACTACGATTACAATTTGTACTGCCCTACTTCTGTTCCACCTTCTCCTCGCGCTATTGTCAGCATCAGATCATTGGGATAGTGCGCGCAGGGCCAGCTGTGTCAGGATCGTCAATCCGGTTTTCAGCCAATGTAAGCCCGCTGCTGTGGAGCGTTCAGCCGGCGCCTCACAAGAAGGCAGCTGCGTGATGATAATGGTGATGATGATGAGGAGGAGACAGCAGTTGTTGTGGCGCCAGCAATAGTGGGAGCAAAATGGTAAGTAGCCGTGGTAATAGTGGTCGTGGTGCAGCTGGCTGTGGCGTTGTTGGCGGAGGTGGCAGCAGCACGGCCGCGGTGGCGGCATTGGCAGGCATTGGTAGGGACATGATTGAAGCAAATGTGGAGGCGCCCCAGTTCAGGGTAATAATGCCTCAGTTTACACACTGCATGAACCACACTGAACCCTGAACCCTGAACCCTAAACTCTACATTCATGAAGTTTCTAAAAATCTCGATTTTGAGAATTAACCAATAATTAACCTCACGATATAATCCTGGACATCCCCAACATACCTCCGGGTCAATTCCAACCCTAAACACAGCAAAACCGTGCGTGCAGGTCGCCCCAAGATGACCACGGACATCAAGGCCATGAACACTGCCTTGGAGCTCTTGAACACAACCTGAGCGGTGAGTAGTTTCCTGAAAACATCTAGCTGGAGTCCGGCAAAATGATTTCTTGCCCAGGAACCCTAAGCAGCTCAGCAACAGGTTCTTTTTACCTATGCAGTCGTGCCTGGGTTATTTGAGCACTCCTGGAGCACTTTGTACGAAGTAGCTTCAGAAGTTCCAACGTGCGGAAGCAGAGTAATTTTGGGGCGGATAACCTTGCCAAGTCTTGCTATGCCGGGTTTCCCTCATCCGACCACAGAAGGGATGTCATTTCAGTTGTTCTCAAAATGCCTCTAGCCGTTGCATGATTTACGCAAGGCGCCTCTCTCCCAAAACCTTGAAACATGACACTGCGCACTCAAACCCCAACCTCAATCCGAGAGGCGAAAACCGTTGTCGGCGCCCCGTAGAGCAGTCCAAGGCTTGATAAGGTTGCCATCAACATCCTTCGTCGGATGTAGGGGCTTCCAACAATCAGAGGTAGTTCCTATACTGGAGGGCATGGTGCTTTGGGGCTAGAAAACCTGGGACCCAATACAGTAAAGCTTATGGCTTTTGGAGGTATACCAAGGGCTTCAAGTACTGCATCCCCCGCCCCAGGAACAGCAGTTCCCCGACGCGTCCAAGCCAAGCAGCTCGAAGGTCGTGAAGACGACCTCATCCCAGCATGCAAAGCCAAAAGAATGGCCCGATTCCAGCAGATCATTGATCTATCAAACTTAGCATCCCCTGCTATGCCCGGGAAGACTACAATTTCTTTTACAGCGGCATAACCCAATCAGGGATCCATACGGCTGCGAAGACACCACATGACAAACACAGCTGTTTATCTCCAACTTCCAATGGCGTTTGGACTTGGACTTGCCAGAAACACCACGATGCTGGACACCATCACCACCATCACCACCATCACCACCATCAACGCCATCCCCACCATCACCACCACATCGACGACTGCTACTACATTACAAACAAGATGGTAAGACCAGGAGGACAACGAATCTCCCTACTACTACTACTACTACTATTACTATTATTATTACTACTACGACTACGACTACGACTACGGCTAAGACCACGACTACGACTACGACGACGACGACGACGACTACTACTACGACTAAGACTACGACTACGTCTACGACTACGTCTACGACTACGTCTACGACTACGATGATGACGACGACGACGACGCCGACGCCGACGACGACGATGACGACAAGAACAACAACAACCACAACGACAACGACAACGAGGACGAGGACGACGACGACTGCTGTCTGTATTAACAATAAGCATTCCACATGACATTGGCTTCTTTGCATAGACTTTCTTCCTACTACAGTAACTCAGAGAAGGCGCTAGGAGAACCCAGGGCATGATGTGGTCCAGGATGGTCTTTGGGGCCTCGGCCTCATCATCGTCATCATCGTCCTCCTGGTATGGTTTGGAGTCTAGCGTGCGCGGAGTAAAGCTCAGGGCCTAAGGTTTAAACAAGCGCTTTCAGGCTTTAGGGCTTCTACTTTGGAGTCCAGTGCTCAGGACCTTTCAAACCTTTAGGGAGGTTCCGGGCCACTTCTTCGCAGCCCTGCCACTGCTCCGCCGTAACTACGCACAACTTGTTGCAAATCAACGTTTAATCTTTCTGACTGCTATAGCGATCATCAAGAGAAAGGGCCTTGTGCGCATGCTTCCTTTGTACTTGTATCATCACAACCAAGCCCTACAAACCCTAACTGCTCAGCTTCCAACCCGCCAAATCCAGCACCTAAACCCTGCTGAATAAAACCCTGAAACCCTCCACCAAAACTACAAAGGCCTACCCGAGAAACAAATCACCCCCACGACCCCAAAAATCCGCGATGCTTACAGTTTCAGTGCCTCTCTCCCATCCTTTCTGAAACTGGCAGATCTCGATTGAGGAACCTATGCCACAGATCACTGTTAATGATCATATGACCTCTGGTTCTTATGTATGGCCTGCCACTTGGACGCCAATGTACACACGCACCAGTGTTCCTGAGGAACCCTGCACACCCTCAGCGGTTGACTACTGCCCCCACCGTACAATTCTCCGGGTATACTATACATACAATTGCTAGGCACTGTGATAGGGTGGGGCAATACGCCTGAAAACCTCAAAAAGATAGATGTTGAACAACTCCCGCCTGAACCTTGGAGGGCTTTGGCTTCAGGCAAATCTTGATGGGGGCCTTGGTTGTAGTCCGTGTTCGGGGTTTGTGTGACTTAGGGTTGGGGATTTAGAGTTCAAGGTCGCGAGCTTGGGGTTTGAGGGTTCGTGTTTGGCGTTGAAGGGTTTGGGACTAAGAGCTCAGGGCTTGGGGAACGAGCTTTAGATGTACTTCTTCTTCTTTTTTTTGCGGAGGGGAGGGGGGGGGAGGGTGGGGTTGTGGTGGTGGTGTAAATGCTTGATTTTTTGCACACTTTCAAATGGAATCCTACACCCTTAACCCTAAGTTGCACTTCGGGGCTTCTGAGGCTTGGGCCAGCAACATCTTCAGCACGAAGACCACCATAGTCAAGCTCAGAGCATACCTTGGTGACATGGGAAGGCTATACAGATCTATTTCAAGAGCTCAAGAGTCCAATCTAGAAGGCGAAAGCCTTCATGCGGTGATGTAGTCATTGAAACCTTCAGAAATGTGGGGATGAAAGAGGGTTTGATGAGCTTTTCCGTCTACGGCGTATTTTCAGAAATACCTAAATAGTCTGCCGAGTCCTGATCCCGAACCCTGAATCCTAAACAACGCAAAGGAGCGAAAACTTGTAAGGATGGCCATGATCCCATCGCCCGACAGCCTCCATGTGGAAGAGGCAGGACTTGGTCCTGAAAGCCCAGATGATGTCTCGATTGTTTTGAGTTTGTTGCTCTCCCCAACCGGAAACCAAATATATGTCTGTCACATATATGTGTATAGAAGAACATGCCGGTAACAATTCGTAAACAATCTATTTCCGCTCACAAAAAAGTGTAGCAAGAAATCTACTAAGAGGAGGAGCACCACTTTGTAAAAGGATGAGTGGGATGGACTTCAGTGGATGGTCACGTTCTTGATCCTGGATTTGTCACACAGGCTTGCCTAAACTATATCCTGAGATTGTTCCTGAACGCCCCCTGTAAGGGCCTCTTACACTCCCTAATTCTTCCAAGGCACAGCGACATCATCACTCCCAGCACAGTGATAACCTGGGGCAGTCATTGCCAAATCGACTCCGAACGTGCTTTGAAATCCTCTGACGCATAGCCTTCCTGCATCAAGCTTCAGCTCAGAAGCAATGATGATGTTGGTGATGTAGGCCTTGCAAGAGGATGGCTTTGCACCACAACTGGAGCAGGCTTAAAAGCATCCATGAAGCTTACTGACCACAACTATTTCGCTCCAAGCACTACGTAAGCCCACTGACCACAGTGCTGCGATCTGTATCATCACTACCTCACCTGAGCCTCACTCATTTTGCTGCTTCCCCCAGCAGCAGCTGCTGCTACCACCACCACGACTTACCACCACCATAATATGAATTAATATTAGCTATAATCTTATTAATATTAATCTATAATCTTATTTTTGTTAATACTATTAATATTAATAATATGAGTATTAGTATTATTAATCTTAATAATATTAATATAGCTAATATTATAATTCCTATTAATCACTAGCATCAGGCCTTCTTCTGTGCTTCATCTTTCAAGTTTCTCATCAGCTTCCTCAGCAGGTTTTGGGTTGAAGGTTGATTGATCAGGTTTGAGGGCTTAGGGTGTAGGAATGACGGTATGCCTCAAAACTCGGATCCCCACGTCTCGCCTCAAAGTTTCAATCAGAATGATTTTAGAATCCCCGAAGCAGGGACCATGGCTGTGGCGGATACTCGACTCTTAAGAGAGGATTTGCGGCAGAATTCGTCACTTGCAGTAAGCAGCCAGTACTCACCACATGAGCCACGGCAGCTTTGGAATCTGGCGGCTTCAAAACGTATACAGGACGATCTGCAGACAAGGGCTGACAACAAGCGAGCCTACCTCTACAGCACGATCACATCCTAGACCGACAGCCAAGGCACGTATCTCGACTCCATCTGATCACGTGGCGCTTCGCCTTTGCCACAGGAATCGTTGCGGCTGGTATCGGACAGCGTGCTGCCGCGACAGCAATGCTCGTGAACTTGAGAGCCTTCAAATTAATTTGCATCTTTGAGTGGGTTTCTCCAATAAGAACGCCTGCTTCGAGACAACTCCCCAAACCATCGTGGCGTGGCCCAGCGAAGTGCTAGTAACAGCCAAGTAAGCCGAGACGCTTTGACCACCAGCATCACACCTCATCTCAAACTCCAAAGGGAAGGATCGGCTCTTCTTGAAGATTTAAGTGAAATCCCTTCCTCCCAATCCATCAACTATTCCTGAGAAGAGACCTCCTAATTCAAGCGGTAGCGGGGAATTCCATGATCCCTGTGTAATCCCAGCGTATCCCGGGGCTGCATACGGGTTCCTAGTATGAGAAACCATTTGGAGGGCTGTACTCCATCCAACTCCAAACCTCGAACCCCAAACCTGCATCCTGAACCACCTACTTCCCTGTAAATAGCGATAGCAAGTGTAGCCCCTGAAAAGGGCCCCCCTTGTCTTTCCAGGCGTGAGGCCCTGCCGAGCCATCCGCCAGTGCGCTGCCGAATTCCCATGAGAGGCCTTTGCTTGGGCACTATTGAGGCTTCAGGCTTCAGGGAGCCCGAACCCTACACTGTAATTGGTTGAGGTTTAGGGTTCAGGGTTTCAGGGGGTGGGTGGGATGTCGGGTCTCATACCAACTTGAAGCCACCAACGTAGTCTTGAAGTCTTGAAGCATCTCATTGCAATTCCCGCATGCCCCTGCTGGACTCCACGACAGGATTGTTGAGGCACGAAGGAATCGAAACTAGAACCGAACGACAACCAATACAGGAGAAGTACTGTGCTAACCATTCAATCTCCTACATCTTCCTCGTGCTGGAGGGGTAGTGGAACAGGTAGTCTAGGTGCTATAGTATAAGGGATTGTAGCAATTGGCATATGGATCCACTGCCCGATTCTCCCTTCCACACAAGTACATTAGGTTCTGATGGATTGTTGAGCGCCCCACTGCCAGGTCGGAGCCTCAGTGCACAAAAACGACGCGTTTCTGTGGTCTTCTTCTGGGTTTACGGTTTAGGGAACACATAAGTTCCCAATGCCATGCAGAACCTGCGTGCATCGTATTTGGGGATGCATGTAGCGTGCCTCAAGTTAAGCAACAACCTGTCATGGCCCTTACTAGCAGCAAGAACGAGAACAGCAAGGTCAATCACACGCAAGTCATGCGAAATGCTGTTCTCCCAAACAAACACCACGGCAAGTCTCATAAAACCCTGGAGGCCATGTGGGCCAAACCTTGTTGGGCCCGGGCCCAGAAGTGGATCCGACGGCTGCGTTGCCATCTCAGAGAGCTCGAAAGGCAGCGCAACTCTCGGCGTTGGCCGCGGGCGTGGCCGGGGTTGGCGCTATCTCGAAGAGGGCTTGTCTGTCGAGATGAGGGAGTGCTGTCAAGAGTTTGTGGGCTGTGGAGTTGGAATTCGGTTCTGGTGTGCTGGAGGTCAACATAGCCGAGAGAAGCTCGATCCAGCTAACAAAGGCTTCGGCAGATGTGAAATCTGATCACGTGTAACTTGTTGAAGGTCTTTGTGTTGAGGGGCGTGTCGAGGTGTACAGCAATTAACATTACAACAGTTATGAAAGATGTTCACGTGGCTTATTGCCAGCATGGAATACCTTGGCAGGCATAGGCCCAAAACAACAAGTCCACCCAGTAACCCAAGGGCTCGACAGCGGCAGCCACAGTCTGATTTGCTGTTGACGGCGCATGGAGGTTGGCAATTATGCTCATCAAAATGTTGAGATTCTGTGGAGACCCGGAGAGAAAGACCATTTGTGGATGCATCGCCCTGATGATACGTTGTCGTCGTATACACCCACGGGAATGCAAAATCTGCACAATGAGAGGCAGAACAAGATATCCACGAGCCCCAGGCCCTGAAATCTAAATCAAGACTCCTCAGCAATGCCAGCACAGCCGTTCACATCAGCCGCACCTCCGGATCGAAGCGCTCCGTGCAGGGCATTGGCTCAAATCCTGGAAGGTTGAAGGCGCAGGGTCTGGGTTTCCCCGATGAAGCTGTTGGAAGAGATGATTCAGCCTCGCATGCTGGCTTATAAGGCATCTTACGACTCACTTTCCACAGATGCCCACATAGAAACCTGCAGAAACAACTGCCTGTTTTCTCTCTAGACAGAGCAGTCGAAACAGAAGAACATTAACAATTCAGGAAAAAAAACGCCCGCAGGCATAACAACAAAAAACGATGCATGTTGACAATGATGGAAAGGCTTTCCCTACATGACTGTATACTGGAAGTGTAACCATTTACTACTTGTTTCTGGCAGCAAGGAGACTATTGTCGCAGCATCTCCTGCCTGGGCCCCTGCTGGGTGGCTTCCAGGGCTCAAAGAATGGCTCGGTAGCAGCATGGCGCCTTGTCGGATGTACATGGTTTAAGGTTCGGGGATTGGAGTTTCAGGTTTAGGGACATGAAAGCCCAGATGTCGTCTATTTCTTAGAGAAACCTTTGCCCTCTGGAATGGTAGCACCTCATGCACCTCAACATCTCAGGCCGTGTTGCATTCGCACAACATAGCAACACAGTGCGCAAACGGGTTGCAGCGGAAAGTTCGGAATGTTTTCTATCATCATGGTTCCGCGTTGATGTTTTCACGCATGCTATCCTGGGGTATTATGCACAGGAGGTCAGAATCGGGCAGAACACAGCGTCAAGATTGCTATCCAAGTTTGCAAGCTATGTTTGATGCACTCTTCTGCCCTCCACAAACACGGAGCCCCAAAAAGCCATCAGTGAGTAAGACACTGGTTTCTGGAGGCGCCTGCTGGGGTTCCATGTTTGGTTGCGGGTGTGTGTACTTTGAGGCAGTAAACTCTCTTTGGCTGAGTGCCGTACAAGATCTGCACGGCGTGCCCAGCAAACAGAAGCACTCTTTCGTCGACCTCTTCAGGCTTGGGGCGTCGAAAACCTTTCTAGGGGGTTCCCAGGCTCCACACCCACAAATCGTGACCACAAGCGAGAAAGGCCGTCTCTTTAGGATCCACATGCATGCATGCATGCATGCACGCATGCATATATATATATACATCTATATGTTTGCTTATTTCTTGATCATTATACCCTCGATGGACCAGCAAGTCTGAACCCTAAACCGGCTGAGGTGTCTCGCACACCGGGTAGCAAGCCGGACGGGAGGCTGATTTCTCAAAATTCAAGACCTTCTTCGGGGATCCAAATCTACGTATTGGAGGCATAAGGGGACGGCCAAGCATAAGAAGTATTCAAGTGCCAAAAAATAGCATGATGAAATTTCCTCAGATCATGAAGGTGCAAGACTCACAATGGCTACTAGTTCTGAACTTTGCCCTTGTGGCTTGCCCTTGTGGCTTCACGGGCGCCTCGTCCGGTGACAACAAATGGCCAGCTCCTGTGTTCTTTGTTAGGGTGCTCATTTGGGGCAACAACAACAACAAGAACCTATTTGACGTTGGAAACTACCCATGGGAGGCTGGCCTACACAATCCCAAGAATATCCCCCGACATCAAAATCCTTCGACTGATTACCTAATGTGACAAACTCTTCACATGCAGGCACTACTATCTCCATCGTGCTTTTTGCTTTCTTTGCGCAGAGCCGTGCATCCTTGGCATCCCGACCTTAAACGTGAACCCTTCTGCTACGTGTTCGGGAAAAATTTAGGGACAGCACAGCAGTTTTGCAGCCCAGAGAAGCAAACGTGCTGCACTGTCCCTAAACTTTTGGAGCTGGAAACCAAAAATTAAGGGACAGTACAGCACTTTTGCAGTCCATGGAAACAATAGTGCTGTACTGCCCCTACACTTTTTGGATTTTGATTGGAAAGTGTTGTACTGTCCATAAAAGCGTAGAAAACCTAAACTTCAGCAACCTTCCATCCTGGAGGCCCGGAAGGTCGCTGAAGTCTAGGTTTCTTAGGTTTTTAGGGACAGCGCAGCCCCTTTTTGCATGAAAAAGCAAAAAGCTTAGGGACAGTGCAGCAGTTGCGCAGTCCAGGGAAGCAAAAGTGCTGTACAGTCTCTAAACTTTGGATCGGGAAACCCAAAATTAAGGGACAGTGCAGCATTTTGCAGTCCAGAGAAGCAAAAGTGTTGCGCTGTCCCCAAATTTTGTGTTAACGCTGAAAGGATCTTCCTTTATATGTCTTCTTTGTAAAATCTGATTAGAGTTTCTGAATTTCAGGTTTTCGAGCGGGCTGTTCCTCTACATGACTTTACTTTAAAATCCAATTCAAAATAACACAGAAATGTTAGTACCTGGATTTCTAGTTTTAGAATGGATCTTTTTTGTATGAAATCGGTAACCGGATTTTGGTTTCCACAGAATCAGGATATGGCAGACCTGTAGATTCCTCGCGAGCAGATGACTAACCCAGTCAAAAAGTGTAGAAATCATTGCTATTTACAGCGTTTGTGGCTGATATGGTATATTCACAAAGCTACTATATGGAGCCTTCATGAAGCTAAAGCAGGTTAGGCGTAGATCATAGGGGGGGGGGGCTGTGTATATATACATATATATTGTCAATTAGTAAAATGGTCAAGATCGTATTCAATCGAGTCTTGAAAGTTAAGCGTGCAGTATGTGAGTCATATGCAGAAATTCGTAGTACCGATTTAGAGTTTTTCGCGTCTGTGCTCAGTCGAATCGTGCGTGTTGCTCGCGCAGGCAGTTGTATTTGGACATGCCCTTATTCAGTGACATGCATGTACGTCAGAAACGGATTGAGTGAGCACTCCGGACCTTTTTTTTCTCCTGTTTTGGGGCTGTGGTGTTTGGGGAGCACAGGCAGCATTAGAAACTTCAAACGTGCTGCCGGCTCAACCCACGCTTGAAAAAGACATGTTGTTGTTGTTGTTGCTGACTGTATCTGCTGCTGGTGACAATGCTGTATAGATATAGGGCTATATCTTGTACTAAGCGGCAGCCGTCCGAGTGTCATGGATACTTGACTCCAAGTAGTCTCAGTTCGGGCTTGGGGTTTAGCGCTTGCCCTCATTAGCCATCTGTACATTATGCGCTTATGGCTCAACCTCGGACTGCTGCCTCTGCAGGCGGGACGTAGATGTCCCACAGGAATTTTTCCAAGCGTCGTGCTCTTTGGCACTCAGCTTGAAGCCCAGCCTCCTGCGCAGGGTACGGGCGCATTTGCACAATGCTACTTGAAGGCAGTATGTCAGGCCTCAGCAGCGGTTTGAGCTGGACTGGGAGGTCTCACTCTCCGCCTTCCCCGCGGTGGGCGATCTCCTTAGTTGTGAGGCAGGTAAGTCATGCGTGCAGAGGCCATGGTGTGTAATTCTGAGGGCTCGGCGTACGTGTGGCCCACCTTGCACATGCGGGGAGGATCTTTGCCGTCAACGCGGCCCAAGATCCACTCGCCTGGAAAGGTTTGCTCGCAGGCAGCGGTGTTGTTGGTTTCTGGGCACGCAGCCTCCTGCGTCGTGTGCATTTTCATACAAATAGACAGATACATGTACGGATGCATCTACATTTACGTATGCTTCATATGCATTTGATACAAAACATATGCATGTGTATATATAGATAGAATAAGATACATATCGACACACACATAGTTGGTGAAAGACTTAGAGTCACACATACGTACATATCTAGATGCGAGCTGAAAGATCCTCCATCCCAGGAGGCCAGGAACGACCTCAGATCGGAGACATGCACCTCAGCCCGGACAACCCCCCTGGCGCGTACTACAGGACCTGCAGGTGTTGGGTTCCGGGTTTAGGGTTTATGGATTTGCATTTGGCCGGGTTGGGGCGTGGGATTTAAGGTTTGAGGTCCGGTGTTTACGGCTCAGGGTTCAAGGTTAATAAGAACATAATCACAAAGGAAAGAAGATATTCGGGATCCCTCATGGGCCTGTTATTTGGATTCATCCCTTGATTCTCTCCTTGTACTTCCAAGGGAAAGCCTTGGCCCCTCGTACCATAAGAAGAATTCCTTGTAGAAGCCAGAATCTAATGGGAACAGAAGTATGGACGGACTTGTCTTTCAAACGCACCCGGGCTTTGAAGTGTCGCTCAGGGTTGCTGTAAGCGTTTCAGGGCAGGATACTGCCAGAAGGAGAAGAAGACTAGAGGCTATGTAATTTAAAGAACCAGTGTTGTAGGAATGGCTGCTTTTCAGGCCAGCATGGCGGAGGGCCTCCACAACAACAGTCTATCTGCCGTTTCCAAAAAAGGCACCAAACCAGGTTCTTAGGCCCATACTTGTGGCAACCACTCCCTTCTGCTAGGTTCTGAGGTAACTCCGCACTAATGTTAATCAG